CATAAAAATTAAGTTTTTTATTGAAGAGAAGATATAGACAACTGCTAAAAGCTCGCAGCGAACGCTTCCAATATCGAACGTGACGCATAAGACACTAACCGTATTGTACTGATTCATGTACTTGTGCGGTCTGCTTCCGAAGTCTATGAGACGAGAATAAATATTTGATGTGCGGTTGAAAGATGGTAAACGAGGGGCCTACAGAAGATTAAGTTCAATTCTGTGCAGAAACACTGATCACAAGCGAGAAACCTTACCACTATGTCTTCAATAAATGCAATTGTTTGCCCGTTGCGATGGCGTCCAACGTAAAGAGCTCGAGGCGGTCGTCTTCGCTCAGGATCACGAATAAGATGGACACGAATGGGAGAGTCACATACAGGAATCGATTTCTGCACTTCGCTGAATCAACTGCATTCATAGGTGATGGTTGATAAAACCGTCGGGATTCTAGCTACCTTGGGTGTGGATCACCAAGTCTGAAAGCGACTTTTCTGCTTTTCACGTAACTTTTTTCGCTGCAAGAACACCAGGTCCACTCCTGCTTTGCAATGGACCTGAGGTTCTCGCAACGAGAAGATTCGTGTTGCGAAAAGCGGAAAAGTCGCTCTGTCCTAGCGAACCACGTCCAGCTACCTGTATCTCAAATCCAATATTGAGAAAATGTCAGTATATTCGACGAAATGCCAATAAGGAACCTGTCAGGATTCGGGTGTAGTTCACTAGGAGAAAGCGACTTTCGCGTTTCGCAGCACGAAACATTTTCGCTGCAGGAACCTCAGGAACCAAGCGTTGATGGAGTGACCTGGAGTTCCTGCACCGAAAAGTGTTTTGTGCGCGAAACGCGAAAAAGTCGCTTTCTGTTTTAGTGAACCAATCACACCACACAATTCTCGGATTTGGAAAATGAACAACTTCGCTGAAATCGTTGGCCCAATCGGCAAAACCGCACAGCCCGAAGGTTCAGACGACTGGTATTTGGGTATCAAAATTCCAACGGACCATGTATAAACCGGATTCATTGTGTGTGCTACCATAGCTGCACACAGGATAGAAAGTAGTATCGTTATATACGGATAGGATGCCAAAGGTAAGAGATGAAGATTGGGAGAATGAAGCCCGGGAGCAAAAGCGAGTCATCACGTACACGAGGTTTCCTCCCCTTGCAAAAATTAAAATTTCTGCACGCGACAGCGACCGTCGCACAAATGAACCCCCTCACTAGACGAAACCCGAAAACACAAACAACATACCTAGAAATAGGAATAAACGATCTCGGACAGGTTTGATCGTTACATGAGATTCGACCTTTGTTTGGCACAGCTGCTGTGATATGATGATGTACTGATTCGTTTTTAACAGTCGATTAAAAGAAAAATCCATTGTCGACGCAACAACACCTTGAAGAATAGCTATTCGTAGGAATATGAATAGCATAGTGAATCTGAAAACTAAAGAGTTTTATAACAGTAGGATGTTTAGGCCAGTGACGCAAGACAAGTGTGAGACCAGAAATTATCTTCTAAAGGGCTTTTTCGAAGTCTTCGTAAGCTGACGTCGAGAGTGATTTGGACAAATTTTCGGAGGGACTTTTTGAGAGCGATGCAGGTCCTCACTTTCCAATACAGGGTGCGCCAAAATTACGGAGACAACGCATGAGCAAACAATTTGAACTGATATTCACAGATGCTGTTTTCTTCTGTCCTAGTTTTGGTACTGTGGTGTAGAATTGTTTATGCTTACCTTGTTCAACCACCAAAATCTATGGTAGCTGCAGCGGTTGACTGATACTGACACCGTCCCTAAATCATTGGACTTCGACGTTGAGGGTTTTTGGCACGCGACAATTATCATCGTTTTGGTGTATACCCGAGCACTATCAATAGATGCTCCAAGTGGTACAGGGGACAAGGAGCTGAATGCAGTCATTCTGGATGAGAAGGGCGTGTTTCTGTGGCGACCACGAACAACAATCTAAGGATTGTGTGCGATCGGAGGTATACGCCGAGATGCTCGCCTCTTTGAAAAAACTTCCCGCGCGCGCTCGTTTAAACAGATGTCGCACTGGGGCGAGCTTTCTCCCAGCTATACTGGTGTTAGAGTCACTACGGAAATCCTGAAGGAATGCGACTTGTAGAGGTAGATGTGGTTCACAATGAAGGATTAACTTCCTCAAAAGGATATTTCTTAAGAGTCAGCGTTTGTCTTCTTCGTTAGGTAATGCTCTTCTTGTAACTACAAACGGGGGAGGACGGGGGAGTGCAGTCTGTAGGAGGTTTTCTGGAACTGAGCTACGGAGGGAGACGATTTTGGAGAGAAAGGTTGCTCACGCACTTCGGAGCCACTCTTCTCCTTTGAGGCTCAGTCCTAAAACTGAGCGTTTCCATAACCCTAATGCAGTGTGTCGCATGCTGCCGTTCTCGCCCACCAAGCCCCACTGAGGATGAGTACTACATCTCTTATATTCTAGGCAAACTGGTGATATTGATCTGCCTTTAAGGGGGCTGTGACTGAGCTCCTACTAATAAGTCTCACTATTCAAAACGATTTGCGCACTCAACATATTGCCGTCTCCTGAGAGCACATTGCTTTGCTGAAAACCCATGAATATCGGCAGATCTTCGTTCGGTGAAAATTTAAGGCAACCTTCTGATTTTCACCTGTAGACACTAATTAGTAGTCAAGTAGCTCTGGCAGTCAAGTGCGTCCACTTATTTCCCGTAATGCAGTTTACGTCAAAAAATTATGTTGGAAAGTTCATCACAACTGTTCCTATGATTCCTCGCTTTTTCGTTTCAGGTATGTATTATTACTTTTGCTGAGGTCACTGACTGGTGAACAGTTTTTGAAAACACCGCTGTAGATATTTGAAAGGGTGATGGGCTTTGCTCTCACGACTTACTGGATGGAAGCACAAAATCCAAGCAGTTGCAGTGAAAAAATCCCCGATAAATCGCTCTGAGTTGCCTCCGGTGTGGACTTAACGAAGATTAGCGTCAACCTACTGACATTTTATCATTTTCTTCAAAAAATGTCTTGCAAAATACCAATTCAGTGCTACAAGAGATAGGAAATGCTTCCAATTCATTACCTTGCTATCCAAAGACGCTTCCTACCAGTACTCTCGTGCGAACGACCGCATCCCCTAGTAATCATTCCTGCTCTCCTGCTAGAATATCTATACTCTTGCCTGCGGTGGTACCAGTGCGGAGAGCAAACTCAAAATATGGGAAAAGGCACGAAATTGTAGTGTCTCCAATCACTCTAGCTAGTTGAATGCTCGCTCCAGTGCTACGTATATTTGAACGTGCGCGCGCGGGAAATTTTTTCAAAGAGGCGAGCATCTCGGTGTATACCTCCGATCATTGTGTGCGATAGAATTTGCAGGTAGTTGACGCGCTGGTTTCACTGGATGTCACGAGAGATAGGAATCAGGGGGCTCTTTTGGACTTATCAGAGCCCATTGCTATCCTGAGTTTATTTTCACTTTGAAAATCGTTGCTGGGCCTTCCATCAAGTAGGAGCTCCCGTTTACGAGGCAAGGGTGGTTCAGTACTAGTGCAGCATTGATGCAGAACCGATTTTTTCGACTTTGTCGGCTTAAACGGTGGTAGAACAGCATTTCAGATCTGAGCTCGATAGGGTACGCTGTCGGATCCGTTCTAGAAGCTGAGGCTTGCATAAAACACATTATGTCTAGGATTCGTTGAAGAAACCGCTCTAAAATGAGCTTGACGAGTCCTACTCGCCACATTGCGTGCCACAGTCGATGGTTCCTCGATGTTTCTGAGGACCCGTATAAACACAAACCAAGGAATTTCAAAAATTGCATGGATGTCGACGATTCAGAATGGGACTGTGCACGTCACTGCATTTTTGTTTTCAAAGAATTGCACCTTGCTCATCCTAGGCAACTCGAAGTCGCTGTCTCCGTAATTTTGGCGCACCCTGTATAACGGAAAGAAATAGATGAATAGAATTTGGAGTATCACATTCCAGTATTACGAAAGAATACGTGATTTTATCAGCACAAAAACCAGCACAGCAACGTTAACGATAAGACATCATGAAGTTCTGCCGCTGAGTATTACTTGACCTAGATGGAAACCTGTAATTTTTCAAGACCGAAACGGCTGTAAGTGTTTTCATAAGGCGCAAGGTCAACGCTTACCCTTCCACGAGTGCCAAGAAAGAGCCGCTACAAAATTAATTGCAAATGACTCCAAAATTAGTATCAACTTACTGGTTGCATTGCAAAGACGGAGTAAAGGAAATCAACAAATCTAGTATCCTTCCTGGGGTATATTCTCTAGGCTAAGGGGAACTAAAAAAATCTCTTTCAATTTTCTTTGCCCTTCCCACAAAAATCGCCCTGAGAAACTACATATTTGTAACGCATATATGTGTGTAAAAGCACAGAAGTGTGGAAAACAAGGAATTTGTGTCGTTGAGAATAAAATAAATTCAAAGGACTCTTTCGCCCCCTGTCTGGGGGAAGGATGGGATACGGCCCCTATCGACTGATCCAAAAAAAACGAGAACATGTCATGACCGCTCCAAGCCTACTAGAAAAGACGGTAAGACGCATAAATAAGGATGTAGCATTCTTCACTGAAAGAGACAGCGCACGTTTTTGATTTAAGAATCAGGAAAGAAACGCAATACAGTAGTGTGTTAACACATCCTTCGAAGTGGTGAGGGCATGCGGGAGTTAACCGATGCGATGGGCATAGCTATTGATCGGTGGCTGGCGTTGCACGCGCACGAGTATCGATTAGACGGTGGTGAGAAGATTGCGTCAACCGGCGAACAAGTTGCAAAGCGAATGCGGAGCCGTTCTTGTGTCTCTACGTTCAATGAATACTTCAACTCGATCAGGCGCTTTTACAATAAGGGTTGTATCATGGTGCAGTAGTTTTAACCGCACACATCAATACCCATAATGGCCCAGAAGGAGGTTCTGAACATGGCGAACCGTCCAACGACACCAATGCTGCTCTGGTGGGGTCTTGATAGGGTGTGGGTACTTAGGACAGAACGCGACTTTTTCGCTCTTCGCAACGCGACATCGCGCGGCAGGCTGGCGCACCCGCAGCGAAAACAACTACGGTATGGAAGAACGCGCGATTGGAGCACGATATTTGTGTCGGCTTTGATTGCGACAAGGAGTTTGAAGCTTAATAGCCATGGATTTGATAATGAACGAGGAAATGGTAACCAGAAGTGGACCGCTAACTAGCAGTGAAGAGGGAGGTAGGTTATTTTTGCAGAGATGATGATGGTAGAGCTTCTGGAGAACCTGGAAGAAATGGTTGATGGACGTTTGATGAGAGTTAAGATGTTATACCCTTATGCAGAAGTCTATACAACAATATGAACCCACAAAATGCAAGCACAAGCGACACTATTAAACCATCGTTCACCGATAATTCGTAAAACACCATTTTAGTGGCATCGCCCGGAATCGTGTAAGTCACAAAACGTTTTCAATAATGAGACAGAATTAGTGATTCACCGCATTTATCAATACAATGGGTGTGAGCGCGGGCAAGTAAGGAATCAGAAACTTACAAATTCACGCATGCAAAAAAGCTGCTCCAATCGCGCGTTCTTCCATACCGTAGTTGTTTTCGCTGCGGGTGCGCCAGCCTGCCGCGCGATGTCGCGTTGCGAAGAGCGAAAAAGTCGCGTTCTGTCCTAAGTACCCACACCCGTCTTAATACGACCTCCCAAAGCAATGTGTATCATCAGGTGGTAAAGTTGAATGTGTGAGACAGTAGTCATAAACCGCTGTTTAGGCGAGAAAGCGCAGGCGCAAGCAACAAATTGAGGGATCTCAGGACATCTGCCAACCATGTGTGTCTTGGCGGTTCAGCGTTTTGTAGTGATGTCTGGGAGCTCTCACAAGTGCACACTATCACAGCATCTCCTCTTTCTTTATCTTCTTCAAAAAGGCTTAGTCCCAATAAGACACAAAGTGTGTGCTTTTCCAGCTACGCTCTCACCCTTTGGTTGACAGAAGCCTTGTAATCAAATTGAAGCGGTTTAAAGGACCGGGTTCAAGTAGTCCGAGAGCGCGATCCGCGACCGGAGGGGGACTGGCGTGGACCGCTAACATTCCTCTTCAGAAGTGGCATTTCTGGATCTAGTTAGATTAGGGGTTGTTGTGTGAGTGCAGCGCCTTGCAGGCGCAGCTCGGATTCTTTGACGGTGACTCATGTTTTGCTTTCAGGGCGTGGCGATGGAGCGACCAGCTTCTTCGAGGAGTCGACCTGCCTCTCGGACCGAGGACGCTCGGATCCCGACCTTCTACTCCATCTCTTGGGCGAAGCCCTGCTCTCTCGAGGACTAGTGATCTCACCCACGTGGTGCTTGCTCTCCTGTCTATATGCTTATGTTCTTTCGTGTATTTGTGCCTTTTTATGATGCCTTGTCGG